AACTTGTTCTTCCTCGAAGAGTGGAAGGGAATTTTGAAAAGATTCTCCTGACTTCTGGCAGTTGAAAGTGTATTTCACATTCAAACTTGTTCTTGCTCGAAGAGTGGAAGGGAAATTTGAAAAGATTCTCCTGACTTCTGGCAGTTGAAAGTGTATTTCACATTCAAACTTGTTCTTCCTCGAAGAGTGGAAGGGAATTTTGAAAAGATTCTCCTGACTTCTGGCAGTTGAAAGTGTATTTCACATTCAAACTTGTTCTTGCTCGAAGAGTGGAAGGGAAATTTGAAAAGATTCTCCTGACTTCTGGCAGTTGAAAGTGTATTTCACATTCAAACTTGTTCTTCCTCGAAGAGTGGAAGGGACATTTGAAAAGATTCTCCTGACTTCTGGCAGTTGAAAGTGTATTTCACATTCAAACTTGTTCTTCCTCGAAGAGTGGAAGGGAAATTTAAAAAGATTCTCCTGACTTCTGGCAGTTGAAAGTGTATTTCACATTCAAACTTGTTCTTCCTCGAAGAGTGGAAGGGAATTTTGAAAAGATTCTCCTGACTTCTGGCAGTTGAAAGTGTATTTCACATTCAAACTTGTTCTTCCTCGAAGAGTGGAAGGGAAATTTGAAAAGATTCTCCTGACTTCTGGCAGTTGAAATTGTATTGAACATTCAAACTTGTTCTTCCTCGAAGAGTGGAAGGGAATTTTGAAAAGATTCTCCTGACTTCTGGCAGTTGAAAGTGTATTTCACATTCAAACTTGTTCTTCCTCGAAGAGTGGAAGGGACATTTGAAAAGATTCTCCTGACTTCTGGCAGTTGAAAGTGTATTTCACATTCAAACTTGTTCTTCCTCGAAGAGTGGAAGGGAAAGTTAAAAAGATTCTCCTTACTTCTGGCAGTTGAAAGTGTATTTCACATTCAAACTTGTTCTTCCTCGAAGAGTGGAAGGGAATTTTGAAAAGATTCTCCTGACTTCTGGCAGTTGAAAGTGTATTTCACATTCAAACTTGTTCTTCCTCGAAGAGTGGAAGGGAAATTTGAAAAGATTCTCCTGACTTCTGGCAGTTGAAATTGTATTTCACATTCAAACTTGTTCTTCCTCGAAGAGTGGAAGGGAATTTTGAAAAGATTCTCCTGACTTCTGGCAGTTGAAAGTGTATTTCACATTCAAACTTGTTCTTCCTCGAAGAGTGGAAGGGACATTTGAAAAGATTCTCCTGACTTCTGGCAGTTGAAAGTGTATTTCACATTCAAACTTGTTCTTCCTCGAAGAGTGGAAGGGAAAGTTAAAAAGATTCTCCTTACTTCTGGCAGTTGAAAGTGTATTTCACATTCAAACTTGTTCTTCCTCGAAGAGTGGAAGGGAATTTTGAAAAGATTCTCCTGACTTCTGGCAGTTGAAAGTGTATTTCACATTCAAACTTGTTCTTGCTCGAAGAGTGGAAGGGAAATTTGAAAAGATTCTCCTGACTCCTGGCAGTTGAAAGTGTATTTCACATTCAAACTTGTTCTTCCTCGAAGAGTGGAAGGGAATTTTGAAAAGATTCTCCTGACTTCTGGCAGTTGAAAGTGTATTTCACATTCAAACTTGTTCTTCCTCGAAGAGTGGAAGGGACATTTGAAAAGATTCTCCTGACTTCTGGCAGTTGAAAGTGTATTTCACATTCAAACTTGTTCTTCCTCGAAGAGTGGAAGGGAAATTTGAAAAGATTCTCCTGACTTCTGGCAGTTGAAAGTGTATTTCACATTCAAACTTGTTCTTCCTCGAAGAGTGGAAGGGACATTTGAAAAGATTCTCCTGACTTCTGGCAGTTGAAAGTGTATTTCACATTCAAACTTGTTCTTCCTCGAAGAGTGGAAGGGAAATTTAAAAAGATTCTCCTGACTTCTGGCAGTTGAAAGTGTATTTCACATTCAAACTTGTTCTTCCTCGAAGAGTGGAAGGGAATTTTGAAAAGATTCTCCTGACTTCTGGCAGTTGAAAGTGTATTTCACATTCAAACTTGTTCTTCCTCGAAGAGTGGAAGGGAAATTTGAAAAGATTCTCCTGACTTCTGGCAGTTGAAATTGTATTTCACATTCAAACTTGTTCTTCCTCGAAGAGTGGAAGGGAATTTTGAAAAGATTCTCCTGACTTCTGGCAGTTGAAAGTGTATTTCACATTCAAACTTGTTCTTCCTCGAAGAGTGGAAGGGACATTTGAAAAGATTCTCCTGACTTCTGGCAGTTGAAAGTGTATTTCACATTCAAACTTGTTCTTCCTCGAAGAGTGGAAGGGAAAGTTAAAAAGATTCTCCTTACTTCTGGCAGTTGAAAGTGTATTTCACATTCAAACTTGTTCTTCCTCGAAGAGTGGAAGGGAATTTTGAAAAGATTCTCCTGACTTCTGGCAGTTGAAAGTGTATTTCACATTCAAACTTGTTCTTCCTCGAAGAGTGGAAGGGACATTTGAAAAGATTCTCCTGACTTCTGGCAGTTGAAAGTGTATTTCACATTCAAACTTGTTCTTCCTCGAAGAGTGGAAGGGAAATTTAAAAAGATTCTCCTGACTTCTGGCAGTTGAAAGTGTATTTCACATTCAAACTTGTTCTTCCTCGAAGAGTGGAAGGGAATTTTGAAAAGATTCTCCTGACTTCTGGCAGTTGAAAGTGTATTTCACATTCAAACTTGTTCTTCCTCGAAGAGTGGAAGGGAAATTTGAAAAGATTCTCCTGACTTCTGGCAGTTGAAATTGTATTTCACATTCAAACTTGTTCTTCCTCGAAGAGTGGAAGGGAATTTTGAAAAGATTCTCCTGACTTCTGGCAGTTGAAAGTGTATTTCACATTCAAACTTGTTCTTCCTCGAAGAGTGGAAGGTACATTTGAAAAGATTCTCCTGACTTCTGGCAGTTGAAAGTGTATTTCACATTCAAACTTGTTCTTCCTCGAAGAGTGGAAGGGAAAGTTAAAAAGATTCTCCTTACTTCTGGCAGTTGAAAGTGTATTTCACATTCAAACTTGTTCTTCCTCGAAGAGTGGAAGGGAATTTTGAAAAGATTCTCCTGACTTCTGGCAGTTGAAAGTGTATTTCACATTCAAACTTGTTCTTGCTCGAAGAGTGGAAGGGAAATTTGAAAAGATTCTCCTGACTTCTGGCAGTTGAAAGTGTATTTCACATTCAAACTTGTTCTTCCTCGAAGAGTGGAAGGGAATTTTGAAAAGATTCTCCTGACTTCTGGCAGTTGAAAGTGTATTTCACATTCAAACTTGTTCTTCCTCGAAGAGTGGAAGGGACATTTGAAAAGATTCTCCTGACTTCTGGCAGTTGAAAGTGTATTTCACATTCAAACTTGTTCTTCCTCGAAGAGTGGAAGGGAAATTTAAAAAGATTCTCCTGACTTCTGGCAGTTGAAAGTGTATTTCACATTCAAACTTGTTCTTCCTCGAAGAGTGGAAGGGAATTTTGAAAAGATTCTCCTGACTTCTGGCAGTTGAAAGTGTATTTCACATTCAAACTTGTTCTTCCTCGAACAGTGGAAGGGAAATTTGAAAAGATTCTCCTGACTTCTGGCAGTTGAAAATGTATTTCACATTCAAACTTGTTCTTCCTCGAAGAGTGGAAGGGAATTTTGACAAGATTCTCCTGACTTCTGGCAGTTGAAAGTGTATTTCACATTTAAACTTGTTCTTCCTCGAAGAGTGGAAGGGGAATTTGAAAAAATTCTCCTGACTTCTGGCAGTTGAAAATGTATTTCACATTCAAACTTGTTCTTCCTCGAAGAGTGGAAGGGAATTTTGAAAAGATTCTCCTGACTTCTGGCAGTTGAAAGTGTATTTCACATTCAAACTTGTTCTTCCTCGAACAGTGGAAGGGAAATTTGAAAAGATTCTCCTGACTTCTGGCAGTTGAAAATGTATTTCACATTCAAACTTGTTCTTCCTCGAAGAGTGGAAGGGAATTTTGACAAGATTCTCCTGACTTCTGGCAGTTGAAAGTGTATTTCACATTCAAACTTGTTCTTCCTCGAAGAGTGGAAGGGGAATTTGAAAAAATTCTCCTGACTTCTGGCAGTTGAAAGTGCATTTCACATTCAAACTTGTTCTTCCTCGAAGAGTGGAAGGGAAATTTGAAAAGATTCTCCTGACTTCTGGCAGTTGAAAGTGTATTTCACATTCAAACTTGTTCTTCCTCGAAGAGTGGAAGGGAAATTTGAAAAGATTCTCCTGACTTCTGGCAGTTGAAAGTGTATTTCACATTCAAACTTGTTCTTCCTCGAAGAGTGGAAGGGAAATTTGAAAAGATTCTCCTGACTTCTGGCAGTTGAAAGTGTATTTCACATTCAAACTTGTTCTTCCTCGAAGAGTGGAAGGGAAATTTGAAAAGATTCTCCTGACTTCTGGCAGTTGAAAGTGTATTTCACATTCAAACTTGTTCTTCCTCGAAGAGTGGAAGGGAAATTTGAAAAGATTCTCCTGACTTCTGGCAGTTGAAAGTGTATTTCACATTCAAACTTGTTCTTCATCGAAGAGTGGAAGCGAAATTTGATATCGGGTCGATTTGGCGAGGCAGTTTTGACTATCTCAAAGAACTTTTTTCGACGTTTCCAACTTTTTTTGTCATTGCAGAATTTTTTGAATTGGTATGGTCATTTTTTTTGCGCTACTTGTACAGCAACTGGCTATCCTTGTTGACAATAAAATTCATTTAAAGTCGTGAATTTAAGCGAAAAACATAGTTTTTGCAAAAAAAGGTTACAAAAGAGCATCAGCGCCCCAAGCAAGGCGTTTTTATGCAATGAGCTGGTCAGTTTGTATATTGGTCCTTTACCTCATAAATAGTCTGAAGCATGCATAAAAACATTTAATCTGATTTAAGGACTAAGTTTAACATCTCTAAGTGTTTTACTTGGAAAGATGCCAATAGGGTTCTAATTTGGATCAGCCAATCAGTTTCATGTTTAATTGCAGTGCAAAGCAATTCTAACCCATATTAATTAGGGTTTCATCTTCGCCCATGTTTTGTGTAGCGCGTGTGGACGTGCAGATGGACACTAATCCACTGACCACTCGAGTCAACCGAAGTTTGGACCTCAAGTGTGAGCTGGCCTCCGAGAACCCGAACGAGGGCATGTTCCTCTGGTTTCTCAATGGCCTCGAACTCAGCCCCAGTGGAAATGAATCCATCATTCCCATCGAGAAGTAAGTCTTTTTTTCTGAGGTTTTATTTAAGAATTTTTTACTTTCGAAACGTTAAAACTAATGTTTTGTCTCTATTGATTTTTTGGTGAGATTCCTTGGTAAGAATTCTTACTTGGTGAGATTCCTGAATGTCTTTCATAAATGATAGGATGTGTTTGTTTTCGGTTTTTGCGCATAAGAATCTGGATACTGTTAAATGTTGAATTTTTTAGAGTCACTTAGAAATAAATATATTATAAGGCGAATTTATAATTCTTTCCAGACACTATAGACGACTGGATTCCATCTTCGGATCGGACGACTTTGCGATGCAAATCCAAAACAACATGACATTCGCAATGACCGAGAAGTTTCCTTACTTTTATCCTTCATCTTCCCGTGATAGCAATCCTTTCTACCCCTCGTCGGGGCCGGGTAAGTTCACCCGGAATGACGCCAATGTCGTCCAAAGTGTAGAGAGCGAAGCGGAGTGGCTTGAGTTGCGTAAATGGGACCCCTACAACCCATACAAGAGCAGCGAGCAGTTCCAGCAGGAGTTGAAGGCGGAGAATGATACCATCTTGAGGTACTACGAGACAGACATTCCCTGGTACATCCAGTCCCAGTTCCGGCACAGGGAAGCTCTTCATTACATAATGGTAAGTTTATTTGACAATAAAAGTGAAGAAAGGAGAACCCTTTCCGTTTCAGTAAAATAAATCGTAGAAAGTATGATTGTTGCGTCCTTAAAACATACATGGGTCCTTGAAGTAAATCTAATGTGACCGAACTTCTTCGCGAAACAGCGAGTTTTTTTTTGTTTAAGATTTTCTCGAATGGTGGGGCAGATTTAAGATTTTCTCAAATCGTGGGGCGGATTTTCCAAAAAAAGTTCATATCGGCAAAAATGATTTTTAAGATCTCTAACAGCAGAAAAGTTTTTTCTATTGCATTAGAACTTTTCACGCGCATGCGAATCTTATAAAAAAAACAGGCCAAAGTTGCTGTTTTTAGGCCCTTTCTAGTGGGCTTTTCCCATTAAATGTGTTTCTTTTTCGGCGCGTAATTCTTCAAATTTAGTATCTATTGGAGCGGCACGCATGGCTTCGATTTCTGTCTAATTTTCCAGGTGAAGGACGGGGTGAAGAATGGGACTCTGAGACTTTACAGACCCCAGAAGTGGCAGGAGGGAACATACAGGTGCTGCTACGTCACTCTTTACGGACAGACATGCAAGGAGGTCCAAGTATCCGTCATAGGTTAGTCACAAGACATAAGATGACTCTGATTGCACAAGTTTTGCAATTTGAGATTGAAGTCGATACAACAGAAAGACTTTATTTTGCCGAAGATTCCTTGTATCTCTTGACAGTTTTGACCCATAAATTGTGAACTGCAATGGGCGTCCCAGATCAAGTTTAGCCGCTAAATCAAAAATTTGAAAGTTTCTAAAAGCAACTAATCAACAAAGATAGCCGGGTGCTGTGCAAGTAGCACATAATGCTCCGACGATATTTCGACGATTAAAAAAAACTTAAAAGAAGGATTTTTAGTTCTTTTCTTCAATGTCGTTTTTAGTGCGTGGCGTGATTCGAGAACTATACAAACGCGTAGAAGCTTAGTTACAAACGCGTAGAAACAAACGTTTTGAGTTAGAAATAATCGACAAATTTTGTCTTCAAAAAATGAATGACACACAACTAATAAAAACAAACTTCAAGAATTATTTTTAAATTGTTGCACAATATGTTTTTAGTTTTAAGAAAACCTTTATGGCCAAATAAGTACTAATTTGAACATCCAAAACAGGTTTTTTACAGTAAATTTAGGCCCTTCAAGTCTAAAATGCTTTACTTCGATCGCTTTACTCGCTAAAAGTTGAACTATGAATTAAAAATTGTAAACTAATTTTTCTCAACATTGGAATTTTTTTTGAAATTTGTCTAATGTCATTGGAATTGCGACTAAAATGGCTTCACTTTGATATACCCGCACTCGGTAAAATCAGAAAGTACTAGATTATTTCGGGTTTTTTTGTCGGTCTCTACAAAATTTTTTAAAAAAGTGAATTGATTATAATCGATTAAAATTGGATCATAATGTTACTATTTTTCGAAACAATAAAAATCATTATAATCGATTATATTCGATTGTAATCGTTTGTTTTTCGAATTTTTTATTTCAAATTTTATTGAATTATAATAAATTATAATGGATTATAATCCGTGATTATTCAACAAACTTCAATGCTTCATTTCATTTTATTTTTGTTTTGTTTTGTGTGCTTTTAATATGGTTACCGGAAAAAAACTGTTGTTTGGTACTTATAAGCTTAAACTTAAATTAAATTTGATTTTTAATCTGTTTCATGCAGAATAGCTAAATTACAATCAATTATAATTGATTTTTTTGTCAGATAATATTTTGATAGAAAAAGGGATTATAATCTTTTATGATAGATTATAAAAAATTATAAGAGATTTTCGGAAAAATTAAAATCAATTATAATTGATTATATTTTATTTGAATGTCACCAAAAATGCTATAATTATAATGGAATATAAATCGTTTAAGTGTCTAAAATTGGCGCTTATAATTAATTATAATTTTGCTAAAAGTAGGATTATAATTTTAAAATAATTGATTGTTTTCTCTTTTTACTGAGTGCGGGTATCACTTGACCCATTCCGATGATTATTTGTGGTTCTTGATTCTGCGAGGAAAACAAAAAAAAAGAAAACAAGGATAGCCGGTTACTCTGCAAGTAGCGCAGAATGTTCCGATTAAAAAAACAAAAAAGATTTTTTTTCTAGAATTAAGGCTTAGACATCACTCAATGTAAAATATGCTAATTGTAAAATGATTTTTATAGAAAAAAGAATCGGAAAACGAAAAAAAACCGTGAAAAGTTTTTTATAAAATTCATTTTCGAAATGTTTTGATTGCCAAAATGGCGCAAACAAACTCCAAAAACGTATTTTGCTTGAGTAAAACTAAGTTTTCACGACTTAAATGTAGCATAACTAAGCTATTTCAACCCTGCTCGCTCACCTTAGTCGCCCAATTTTAGACCACAAATCGAAATTTTCTCAACACCGAGTAAATTGTTTCAAATTTTTTATTGTCATTCGAATTACGACTGAAAGGACTTTAATTGTGGTACCTGATTTTGCAAGGAAAAAACCAAAACACACCTGAATACAAAGTTTCTGCCCATTTTCAATTGTCGGAACAAAAAAAACGAAAAAACTTGAATACAAAGTTCCTTCCATGGTCGAATTAATACTTGAGTAATGTTGGCTTTTTATTTGTAACATTTTTTTCTCGTTTTTCAATTCCGGTACACGAGAAAAGTAATCGGAGTTTATCATGCATACAGTTTTGGGACACAAACGTCTAATGATATTTTTGTCTATGAGTTTTTTAGTCTTGCGGTCATCTTTGTGTGTGAATTATAATTTTTAATCACGCTTTTTGATGACTTTCAGATTACAATTGTTTTAGACACACCCCCTGAGCCGCTCAATGTGCAATTGGACACGAAATCACTGGTGCTAACGTGGGGACATCCGGGTCGACCGAGAGACAACAAAGTGCTCAAGATTGAGAAGTTCTTGATCATGGCCGAAACGCTCCCCCTGTACCCCATCCCGGATCTGATGCAGCCGTTGCCTATGGAAAAAACATTCCAGTTCCCGGACCCCTTTTTTCCAATCGAAGGGGCTCTAGGGCTCTGGCCACCAAAGGGATTTGTTAGGATAGCTGGTAGGTACACTTTTTCTATAATTTATTCCGTCAGTTCGAATTTTTTCTTATTGGTTTCATTTTTTGGAGCCTGCTACTTCAAAATCAATAGGTTGCTAAAACTTGAAAAAAAATTCGGAAACACACAGAGAGCGAGCTTTCGGGGCCATATTGGTCAAAGCGGCCCAAAATAAAATCAGAAAATGTTATCACGAACGCTTGATTTTTTGTTTAGAAGCGAGACCAGAAGCATCCAAAATAGACTTGTCAAATGTCATTGTCGGCTACAACACCATGCGTTTCAAAGTAGTCGCAGTAAATGCGATCGGAGCAAGTTCACCCAGTCCCCCCACAGCAGATTTGGTCATACCCCAGTCCCAACCGAAGATGGTAGTGAAGAATATCCGAGGGGGGCATGCATTGAGGGCGGAGAGCAAACGGCTGTTAGCTGTGGCCTTTGATGTGAGCACAAAGTGTACATAGTGTTTCGACCATAGTTAACACCCCCTTCTCCCAAATCTTTCTAGGGAAGGGAAGTGGATACTAATTTGTTTCTCAGTCGGAGTTTTCAGCCAATTAAAATTAAGGGTTTTCACAGTGCTAAGCTGTTTTATCTAATTTAAAAGGGGAAGATGTTTTATCTAGTATTTTTATAACTAACATTTGAGGAACCGTCATAAGAAATATATTTTTCAAGCAATGAACTTACTCTTAGCTGCGAGGGGAAGTATCAAATAAGTAAACGGGACCCTGTACCAGGAGTCTTGAAAAATATTTGGATTCTATTGGTATTGTCAATTGACTAGAATTACAACCTGTATCAGCTGATGAACCAAAATATATAAGATGGACTACTTTGTGTTTAGCCGGTGCCCGTGGACCAGTTTGGAGCAGACAACTGCTACTGCAACGTGTACTATCGAGAGACTGGATCGAACTCCAACTTCCAGGTGCAGACGATGAGGTCCCCCTTCCAGACCCAGATTACAATCCAACTTAGAACTGACTTTTTCACTGTGGGGGGCAGTACCATCGGGAGTCGAAACAATCTGCAGGAGTTCGATGTTCAGATTGAGATAGCAAATAAGGTCGGCAAAGGTCCGAAGTCGCCCATCGTGAAAGTGAAAGAAGTACCGTTGCGTAAGTAGAAGCTAATTTGTGGATTACATAATTGGTTTCTAAATATTCTTTAAAAATTAACGACAGCAAAATATATAACAAGAATTAACTGCAAATTGAACAGTAGCTTCTCAGCTCGGCTGGCATTTTTGGCAAGATTTCAATCTTATCATGCAAAACGAATTCTTTGTTTCAGCTCCTAACCAGGTAGTTACAAACGTGAAAGTTACTCCAACCTCTGGTTCTTCGGTGTTGGTCACCTTTGAGGGAATCGATACTTCGAAGGAACCGACATTTGTCGGCTACCAAGTTGAATACTTCAAGCACAGCGACGAAGATTTCGATGTGTTGAATTATGAATTCGAGTTTTCGACGGGAAACTCGACTCGAATGCAGGAAGTGAATGTGTTCGAGTTGGAACCAGCGATGAACTACAAGTTCAAAGTGCGAGCTGTGAACGCGGGGGGTTTGGGACCTCCGTCGAAGCAAACGTTCGGTGAAACATACATGGCAGAGCCGAGTCAGCAACCACAAGACGTACGAGTCTATTCATTCGATGGCGAAAACTCAGTGAGGGTCCAGTGGTCTCCAATAGAGGTGTCCGATCGCGAGGCACAGCTCGATGGCTACAGGGTAAGAAGAGTACCCTAGTTGATCAAGGATGCGTATCTCGCAAGATCTTACCAGATTATACATCGAATATCTTGCAAGATTACCATTCTTGGCTAACTAAGACAGCTGATTTGCCTTGCAAATTTGATTTCCTAGTGTGGCAAAAGAATCGGTTCGACAAATAGACGACAAAGATAAAAAAAGACCAAACTTTCAAGCTTGAAAGAGCTAAAACGCACCTATTTCAAATAAGTTCCTTCTTGCACCATTGAAGTAATTAATTGAAGCTGCTGTTTGTCTTTTCAAGGAATCGAAAACTTATTTTGAAGGACACTTCCGTTTTACTCCAGTAATACTTTTTACACATATAAGGTTTTCTCTCTAATTATGAACTTTCTGCTGTTTATTAGACATTGAATCAGGGGCGGTTTTAAAGGGCCCCTTTGGTACTATTTTATGGCACCCATTTGCGATCGAACAACTCAACATTTTTCCAGAGGCGTATTCGCCACCAATATATACTAAATTTGAAAAGCGTGCGCCGGAAAAACCGACGCGATTTTTGATGAACACCGTCCAAAGAGTACCCAAAATGGCATTTTTTATGATTTTTTTTTAAAGTCTTTATAGTGTTCTGGGAGCACTCGAAAACGAAAAATATATTTTGTCGACCTTAAAGAAGATCAATAAAAGTTTTGAAAATTTTTTAAAATTCCAACCCCCCCCCCCCCCCCCCCCCCTCGAGAAAATCTTAGATGCGCCCCTGCATTGAACAGAAAAAAGTTTCACTGTAACTGAAACTTTTTGTTAATTTAGTTACATTCGTTAGACGCCCTTGTTTGTTTTCTCTGTTCAGGTGTTCTACTGGGAGGTGGGACAAAAAGACAATGAGAGTGCTTACATGGACTGGTTCAGGGAATCCCAAAATGACGAGGAGTTGTTCCTCACAGACCTCTTGCCTGGACAGAGGTATTACATCATAGTGCAGCCCTTCAGTGACGGCGGATTCGGACCCAGGAGCGAAGCATACCCATTCTTAATGCGTGAGTAATCACATTATATATAATATCATCGATATTGAAAAATTGGACTGCGGTTGAGATGGTTATTCGTACCGCATCACGAATTCCCGGGGGGTCAAAGCCCTATCAACGTCCTCAAAAAGCAAGAAACCTCAAAAGCAAAGAATTTATAGCTTGAGACGTTTTAGTTGAATTAGACACTAGAACCGACTTTAAGAATTGTTAGTCAGCGAACTATGTAGGCTTACTTAACAGGTAATTTTACAAAATACCAATATATCATAATCAAAACTGTAAGTAAGTAGTTTAGAAAACTCGTTATGGAAATCTGATTTTGTCCAATTATCATGCAGAATCATCATTAGGAGTTTTTGCTTCAGGAGAAACGATTTTCAACGAAATGTACATAGACGGAGCTTCAAGGCTGCAGAACTTCCTATCAGTGGTCATTCCGATGTGTCTTCTGACTGTTTTCTCTTCCGGACTATTTTAAAACCGACATATCAATAAAAAACAAACAGTTTGTCACAAAATTAGTGATCATTGTAAATAAGACTTGAACGCTGACTATATGAAAATTTATTTTGAGAAAAAAGTAACAGTTACGAATCAGCTGACAATTTTAACCATTGCACAGCGTCCTTTATCATTAAATTTTGCTAGTTTTTTTAAACTGACTGTGGTATGACTACAAACCAAACTATATATATGGTGCTTATTCTGATGCTTAAAACCTGCAGAAATGGCAAAATAGATAAAACTGTTTGAACAATCCACCTCCCATAATCCATCTTATATGAAATTGGTTTTTTTTCTGCCTCCAAAATATGGTTATAATTTAATTAGATTTGAATTTTTGGATCAAGTTAACATTCTACCCAGCAGATAAACCAAGTTATGATCCTCCACCCCAGTGTTTATTTTGGATTGAATGTGCTGAGCTGAGCGCTGAGTGTAAAATGCCAGCTTGTGATATGCTGAAAATTCGGATTTGGGGGATGTTAACTTGGTCCGAACTCTTAAAAAATAATTAATTAGTCGTATTATAAACCAATTAAATGATAAACCAAGCAAAAAAAGTGAGCAGTTACCGATTATTTATGTTACATTTGTAATGCAGTGTCCGGCAAATCAGGCGACAGCTGTTAGGACAAAACTTTTCTCGGAAAATTAGGAAGACATTTAAAATTTAGCTGGCTTTAATTGCGTAAACTTCCAATGTTAAGACTTCATGAATTTATTGTCCAAGCTTAGATTTTAGTTGTCTTATCGCTTTAATGGTTTGTCGTTTTAGTTATCGAGCACTAAATAATCTAAGGCAAAACTCAATGTACATGACGTAACTTTTGACTGTTATAGTTTACTCTTCAAATTTTGGCCGGTTTATATTTCGCTTGTTTTGCTCACTCCGCTCAATTTGCTCACTTTGCACACTCCGCTCACACCATGCTGAAGTCAAATTTTTCAAATGAATCTTTTGTAAAGTTACTTGTTTTCAAAAACATAATAAATTTTGTTGGCATGCAGTATTATGATTTTTTCTTCGTATTTGAAATTCAATTTTAAAAGAAAAGTTTTTTATGGGCATAATCCAAGCTGAAATAGATAAAAATGCTGTGAACTTTTTTCGTTTCACTGAAGAATATTGTGAGAATTTGTGACAACTCCAACTCAAAGAAAAATTGAGAGTACAGGTGGCAGAAAACTTTATTTCAGATTATGCTATGGTCAAAAGCCAAAATTTTCCTTGCATGAAAGGCCTGCCCGCTTTGGCAAAACTAAGATTGCAATCGTTTATCGCAAGTAAAATCTACAGTTCAGCCAGCTAGTTTAATTTTATGCACTAAATAATGTTTTTTTGTTCCGACTTTCGATACGAAAGTAACGGAATATTTGTGCTCGGGGTGGGTTTTTTTTTCTTCAGACAAATTTCGACTTTTTAACTAGCCATTTTTGACGGAATTTTTTTATATCATTCGAAAGGTATTGTTGTCCTGAGCTTAAATTTGAAAAGATTATTTACCTGTGATCATTTTTGGTAAAGTTATGGGGGTTTAAAGATTGCCATTTTGGCCAATTAGGGACAATTAACGCGCGATAATCTCGCGCTATTAACGCGTAAGCGGAGAGTTAATCCGTCTTAAAATCGTTCCAAATTGGTTGAAAGAAGCTTATTTGCCATAATTGATTTGTTACAAGGAGCTAAATCTATCTTTTTGTACTTTAAATGGCGTGTGGGGGGATGCTTTTCTTAAAAATTTCAAATTTTAGAAAAAAAAATTTAATAATTAATTACATTTAATTTTTTAATGTTATTACTGCTCCATAAAACCTTAAAAGGCGGTCGGAACATTCAGGGCTTCGCCCTGATACGAGCAGTCTTGTTTTACTATCAAATCGATTACAATCGATTGCAATTTGTACTTAGTTTAATCGATTCGATAGTTACCAAAATCCATTTTTAAGTTAATTTTTTGGTACAGATTATATACAGATTTTATACAGATTTTCTGCAGATCATATACACATTATATACAGATTATATATCCTATAAAATCAATTGTAATTTCGTTTCAATTTTTATAGAAAAAATTTCGAATTCAAAAAAAACTTTTGTTACGTGACTTGTTTTGTTGAATTATAATCGATTTTATACAGATTTTATACAGATTTTGTACAGAATTTATACCTCAAAAAATCCATTTTCTAGACTATAAAATCGATTTTTTCTGAACTGTATAAAATTCCTATATTATCCATTTTAGTGTCTAATTGGGTTACACACAATCGATTTTTAATTAGTAGAAAATCTGTATAAAAATCTATTAAAATCGATTGCAATCTTATTTTTGCCAATGCGGGTGCTCTGTTGTGCTTGGATGACACGAAAGGTATTAAAGTGAACCAAAGCGAAATTTCCATACAACTGACGGTTGTAAACACTCACATCGATAACCTGGCACAAGTATTGAAACGAAAATGTGTTCCACGAGAATTTTTTCTTGTTGATTTCTGGAAAAAAAATTCAAAAAACTTCGTCCTCCTTGTGCTACTGACATTCATTACGATGTATTTAACCAGTAGTTCGAGCTTCTGTTAGTGCCTCCCTGCGCTTTAAAATGCCGGTTGTTCTTTTTAGTTCGTTTTCATTTGGTTTTCAATTCGCTTAAGAATGGACGAAGTTTAGTTGTGAAAATGTAGCATTGGGTAAAAATTGAATTGAAGATGATAAAAGTGATAAAATGACCTTTTTGTAAAATAATGATTGAAACCATTTTTTAAGAGAAATGGATAAATTTTAGATGTCCAAAAGCTAACAAATAAACGTCGAAAAATTAAATGATTTTTAAAATTATTTTAAAAGATTTTTAAGGGCACTTTTTGAGTCTTTACTCAAGAAACAGCTCATTGTTAACAAACTCCTAGAAACTCATACTGAGTTAGGACCGAGTTGGTTAACTCATAGAGTAATTTCGGATAGGGTACACCGTCTGCTCGTCACGCTATCTTATTTTCGGCCGGATAGATTCGTGCAACTTCTTAGTCTAATACCGATCCTAATCTTACTCTTATACTATCTAGTCTCAGGTTGTTTAACTAGTCTCTGCTAGGCTCAATAGATCTAGGGTATACTGGTTTATTGCGGCTGCTGAAGTGCTCGGGAGAGTCCAACTAATTTCTAAGTTAAATTCAAATCTCTCTGGTGCTGAAATTACAAGTAACTTCAGCACTTACAAATAAGTGGGTTGTTAGTTAGATGGATCATGATTGGTTAATATTAAATACTTTACATTGGTAAAATATCTAAATTATCCAATCATAAAATGTAGTTTAGATCAGGTTCCACCCATCCGGGTTTTACAGAGTTTTTTAGAATAGTTCTTCTGCAATTCGAAGGATGGATGATGGACGTTGGTGTTTGGCGAACATCTTATTTCTTCTGTTTTCTTTTTGTTAAAGAAGTTCCAGGAAGCTGGAGTTAGAGACATAAGACGTTGTGTCTTCTAGTGACAACGACTAAGTCTTTGCAACAAACTCAAATCTGATTTCAGAATGGTTGGCTATGTCAGGTTTTTCTGTTCTGCGTGGAGAACTTCTTTTGTGTCTGATCTAGTTTGGGAATGGCGTGGAGATTGTGCGTGGAGGGGATGCCTGGTTACTCGGATCTGTACGTATACTTGAACATCGAGGTGGTCATTGGTCTAGTTCAATGAAGTCCTTTTCTGCGAAGTCAAGTCGTACTCTAAATCCTTTGAGTTGTGATTGTGAGTGGCATATCGATTGTGGTTGGTCATTCTCTCTCGAGTGTAGTGGGGTCGTTTTGTCTTTGGATGTTCGTCCTTGGTGTTGTATTCTGATCTATGTATTGCATAATGTAATTTACATTTTATAAAACTTTTATTAGTTTAATATTTTTTAATAATGATTTTAGTTAGTTGTTTTCACAAAAGCTTTTTGTTTTAGTTCGGTTATTTTGAAGAGTTACTCACACTTGAGTAGCTCTTATTAAAAATAGAGGTGTGGTCACAAAGCGTGGATGTAGCACGGTGGGTTAGGCCGGCTATAGAGCATGCTCAGGACGTCCTTCCTGGTGGGTTAGGCCAGGAGTGGGAGTATGATTTCATGCGGTTTTTTGTGAGGGGTCCTGTTATGTGACAACGTTTTATGTTGGGTTTGTTGTGGTTTTTCTTATGTTTTGTTGGTTGTGTCCTTTTTTCAAAAATCAAATTGTTTGTGGTATGGGTTTGTCTTTCGACTTTTTTGTGTTTTATTTTTTCTTTCTTAGACTTTATAATAGTCTTCAAAAGAATAAATTATCCAGTTTTAAACTGGGTTAATCCGGTTTGGGTACCGTTGATTTCCTTTTCTTAGTCATGCTGTTATTCTATGATTTGTGGTATTTAGTAAGCTGCGTTGGTTAGTTTTGTTTAGTATATGATTCCTTTCCAACCGGGTTAAAGGAAGGTTTGAAACATGTTATTATATGTTAGAGTTGTTGAGTGTGAAAACTTGAAACTGAAATTCATTATTTTAAACAATTCTTCGTGGGCGAGCTGTGCGAGTGTGGATAGAATTTCTGTGCGAATGAATGAAAATATCAAAAGGTTAGTACTGCAATTGCATTTTATTAATTTACTGCATAGAATTTGGAAATTTACTGCTAGTTATGGGGGAATTTTAAGTTACAAATTTTCATCATAATTAAATTTACTGCTTGTGGGGAAAATTTTAGAAATGAATTTACTGCATTGGTATTAAATTTATAAATTTATAAGTGTAAGAGATTAATAGAATTGTTGAAATCTTGTTTGATGAAATTTGCGATTTTTATTTGTCTTTTGTGGTTTTTGTAGGTGATCGTCGGATGAAGGCTAAAAATCTAAGGAAAACATGGATAAAGTATGGTGAGTTTTTTTAATATTTCAATTAGTTAGTAATATTCATTTAATTCATACTTACCTGTTAGTCGTCGGGGAAAAAACCGTGGGGGAAGATGTCGTGAATTAGTTCTGAAGTTGTTAGTAGTTTAGCTAAGATGCGGATGATATTTTTAGTCTGAAGCAGTGGCCAAAGCAATTGGAGTGCCTTGATAGTGGTTAGTTCTTCAGTGCCAACTGCAAACTCATAAGGTGTGTTTTGGATTAGATTATATAATTTGTGATTGAATTTAGTGTTGTGGATGAATTCTAAAATTGGGATTTCTATAGGTTGTACAAACTCGTGCGGGATAAGGAAGGGTCGGGATTCTTCGGCGTTGAAGGTCTTGGTAATGGGACAGAAGATGTACATTTGGGTTATGGGGTCATAATTTCGAAGAATACCATGAAGGTTAGTGTCTTTAATACAATATGTGAAATTTAGAAAAAATGGTGAAGTGTATTTGGAATTAATGAATTGAAAACGATGGTGTGGTTGTCTAGAGGGTGTGTGTAGGTCAAAGTGATTTTGGATGAAGCGATAATAACTATATGTGTGGGTTTGTTTAGTGCGCAACATAATATCGTGTGAGCAGTGTAAATCTCTTTCGTGTGGTGCAAGGAAATGAAAGGTTAGTGAAAATATTTGGAAGCGTTCTTTAAAACTTTCGTATGCTTGTGTGTCTGTTAGTGCTTCTGAAATAATGTGATCAAACTTTCGGTCGAAGATGTTTAGTGTGAATGTATATGGTGTCTTGATGAAAAATTTCTCGGTAATTTGTGGATTAGCGAAGCGATCGTCGTCTAAGAATTGATCTTGGTTAGCTCTGATGATGTTGTGATCATAGTATTCGAGTGTATATTCGTTAGCTCTAGGTGCAGTGTGTGTTTTTAGTGATTTTTTATATCCAACGTAAGTAAATTGTCTAGGTGTTAGTGGTGTAGTGAGTCGATATAGCATGTCCGTATTTCGTTCTATATCGATGTGAGTGTTAGATAATGGTAAGCAAAGAGGGTTAGTAAAATGATAATATGAGGTCCAAGAGAGAGTGGGCATTAAAACGTATTCATCTACGAAGTTGCGTGTTTCGTTAGTGTCGTGGGGGGTATTTAAGGTGTATTGTGGGAATGAGGGTAAAGTGAT